ACCGACGCAAAAGACGAGGAAGCGAGGGCGCCGATGCAATTTCCCATCCATCCCAATCTCCCGTAATTGGCCCAACCTTCCCAGCTTAGGACCCCTCATCGTAGCTGTGCAGAAAGTCGCGCGCTACAGAAAGTGGTTCGTCACAGCCTTACGACTAATTAAGATGCTAATTTAAAAAATGGGCACGTAACTGCCACGCACATGATGGAAACATGAGATTCAAACACTAAGCCACGTGGACCACCATGCCAAAGTTCCTAGCCTGCCTACGTAATCCAAAGGGAAGAAACTCACAAAATTCTGAAGCAGAAGTGAATCCGACGTGTCTCTTTCCCACATGTGCTCACTAAGGTGTGTCCTAAGTGCCTAAAAAGAGCCCGATCACAGCAAGTTGCAGGACTGTCCTTCAAAAGAAAGTCCGGAAAAGCAGGGGCGATCCTTGAAAAGGAAAGCAGACCCGTGAAAAGGTAAGGGGCCGTTCGGGCCAACCTCACTTCTCGCAGAAACACTCGCACATGCAGAAAGTAGATCGTCACAAGGGACTCTCGCAAGCTTAGGGTGACGAGGCTGTATTGCGGGCCATTGAGGGTATCACAATTTGACTATTCTCTGGGACACTGGTCCGATTTCCAGTCTTTGAAGCTCCCCACAAATAGAATGGAGCTGTTGACTATGCAGACTCCAGTTTGGGAGGCGGCCTCCGCTATAGGTGTCTGGAATATATTCTTTCCATTTGTCAAAGATGCTGCCATGCACGCGCCGCGAGGTTGGCCTACCAGGCTGGCTGCGCCAGGCAAAAGAAGGCCTGCGCCGGTTCTTTTTGTTTTGGCACGCAGGGTGTTTCCAGGCTCGGCAAGGGAAGGGGCAAAAGTACTCAGTGTGGTGGTTTGCAAAATGAAACTAGAAAACACAGGCTTTTCTTGTGGCAATTACCTATGCTTTTCAGGGATTCCACAGAATTCCTAAATTCCGTTGTTTCTAACAACAAGACTCCTAATTTTCCAAAAAGGTGGTTAGGTACCCAGTTTCAGGTTCTGCCACCAGCTCTTGTGCTGTTCTTTCCCTTGAGCAAAGGTGCCACCATCCCCTCATTGTTCCGGGGCAAAAACTTTCGATAACCAACTAAGGGCCTCGCCACACCATTCTTGAATAGGATAAAATTTTCGGGAGTGCTCTCGAGTATTAGAACTCCTTGAATCCCATCCGAGACTCGGAGTGCCCTTCCCCACATGGGGCTCTTGAATGGGGCGCTCTAGAATTCCAAAATTGACAGAGGCCACTTCCCGGGGCAAGGTCCCACTTTCACGGATTAAGAGATTCTGGCCGTTGATCTCTGCTATCCACGGTCAATATCGCTTAATTCGTGTAAGTGGGACCTAGCCCCCGGTCCACTCGGGAATTCCAAGACCGAACTCGGAACTCGGAGGTCGGCGTGAGGTATCTCCAAAATGGCAATTTGCAGGCGGCTAACAAACGGAAGCTCTTAGAGTCCTCTTGAGCCCCTTTCTCTGACAGTTCTCAAACTCACTTTTGGGAGCTGAATCCGAGAGCATATGTGGCACTCCCCAAAAAAAAACACCACACCAAATTGAATTCCAAAGTGGTGTGACAAGGCCCTAAGATGGCAGGGTGCCCTCCTCCGCACCGCCGGGCAATCCTACCACTCTCCCGCCCGGCTCACAGGTACTCCTTTGTACCTCAACTAACCATTCTCCAATCGTCCCACTGTCCCACTGCAGCCGGAGAATCTTGTCCCACCATCGGAGTCCCACTGTCTCATGGGGCAGGTATCATCATCCAGCTGACCAGCCCTAGGAAATGCAGGGGTACATGTGCTATATGTTATGTTGTTTTTTTTTTTTTTTTTCCAAGAAAAAAGCAAAAGGTGACGACCTTGAGATATTATTATTGAGCTGACCGGCGTGTCAAGTTCAACCTTCTGGATTCAAACACTGATCTGTATTTCAATAGTTCATCGGTGTACCCACTGAGGCTCTTGAGTTATGTTATCTATTTTAGATGTTAGACATACTGTTACATCAACTTAGGGCATACTCACACTAGCACTTCTCAAAATGCATCGGACTGTGGTTAGGGCCAGACGTGGATGCAYCTGACCGCAATCACGTCCACAAATACGTAAAAAGGTCCTAGTGTGAGTATGCCCTTACATGTGTTATACATATTCTCGTTGGATTTGGAAAATGCAGTTGGCGATTGTGTCCTTGAAGGAATCTGAAGGCAATCGCTAACAGATCCAGATTGGAATGACGTCCTGCGACCTTCTTAGGCAATTGGCCGCCCTACTACCGTAGTAGTACCGAGTCAAGCCCTGTCAGTGTGCACCCACTGGACACCACGTTCACTCCATTCAGCTTGCACA